GGGGTTTGATAAAAAAATTATTATATATCCGTAAAACCTCCGCTGTGAAACTAATTACTTATAATTATGTATCAATCTATAATTAAAATAATAACGACCGTGCGATCATCTATAATAAAGGGGGAAAAAAAGAGAAATTTCGCGAAGAGAATGTCTCTATAGTTCCTTTAGTAAATGCTTCCTTTAGTTTAACGTTTTAGCGGGAAAATGGTGGGGAGAGTGTTCTGACAAACAGTATAAAATTTTTATTGACATTAATTAGCCTCAATTGAAGTAATTTTCTAAAAGCTCACAGCACTTAGGTCAGCTCATTTCCAGGAGATCGGAGACTCAAGCGAAACTATCACGATAGAAGCTGAGTGTGCTAAACGGAACATAAACGGAAACGAATCGATACTCGCGATAGTGACGGCGCAGTGGTCTCGGGCAAGTGCCCGAGATGCAAGACAGGACATACGGCAGGAAAAGACGGAGTGTGAACGCGCGCGCGCAAAATGCACAATTAATGTGAAAATCGAGAAATCCGGGAGGAATTCATTTCATCCGCTAAAAGGAGACAAATGGTCGAGGAGCGCGCAGCCAGGTGAAGGTCTTCCCTTAAATTCGCGCAACAAATGTCTATAGGAGAACATGACGCATCCTGCTTTCCGGCGAAATGAAATTCGCGAATTCCACGGCCATCGTCTGTCGCGGCACCGCGATGCGGAAAGGTACATACCGGAAGTTATCGAGTCTAAAGACCGGTCCCGGATACTGGAGCGACTCGGCGAATATTGTCGCGCGGTAGCGCGCGCGCGGAACCCACCAATTCGCTTTAGTGCCTTCGCGAGGTGCGCCGGCTTCGTAGAAACGTCTCTTCCTCTGCTTCTCCCTTCCTTGCCCTCTTCTCCCTCTCTCTCTCTCTCACATTGAGGAGAAACTCTCCTCGATGTAATTTCCATTTCGCCTTGTTGCACGCAATTTATGCCCGCCCCTCCTCCCGTCTTCTAGCGCGACGCGCGCGATTTAAATTGGATTGCCGGTGTGGCACACCGGTAAGCGCGAATTAATCTCGAAATTAATTAGCGAAAATACACTTAAACGGTCGCGATACGTTCGCGAAAACATCCGCCGGCGGATGAGACGTCACGTCGCGCAGCCGCGAGTGATCCTCCGCCGTTACGGAAGACGCGCTGCTGGAGCACACGGTATTTCGTGTGTCTACTGTCGCAATTGTGGACTTTTCGCCGAAAATCGTATTTTTTCCCGACTGTAATTGAGTCTGTGAGAAATAGGGTATTTTATCAGAGTGGTCTAAGCGGATTCGTGAGCGACAGACGTACGGATAATAATTCGGATCTCTTGTAAAATACGCGCAATTCACTCAGGACGCTAAGATTACACACGCCAGGAGCTCCCGGCAACGAATTCTCTCCTCTCCAGTTGTGCCAACCTAGCGATCGCCAATTTAAACTAAACGAAAGCATAAGACGTAGCAACGAAACAAATAGCATTGCACACTTATGAAAGAATGCACTGAAAAATTTATTTTTGTAACCGTTACCAAAATATTTCATGCACACGTTATGGTTGATGATATAACTTTTTGCTTGCGTAAACCAAATGTATCATGGAGAGAACAAATTTCACGAATATGTTTATTATATTATAAACGACCAAATTATTTGCTTAGTTTTTCTGGTTTCTTAGTTTTCTTTATCTAGTTGTGGGTTTCATTCGGCATATCTATCTATCGCTACCTGTAAAAGCCCGAACCTCATCATTCTGATGATGTTACCATGGAAGACATATTTGACGCATAAAGGTACCTATTTAAATTCTTCAAATAGGCAATTTGATCAGGGCTTGATGCAACAATGCATTTCACTCTTAATTAGGGCCGGATCTGACAACTTATGCGAGCCCTATTTGAAGTACGGAAATCGGAGAAGGCTCTTGTAAAGCTGTACGATGATGAGTTTGCTTGGATATTTTCATTTTTATTTATATTAAGGAATTAAATTTTTTGATTGCAATATTCAAACAGTTCATTGAACATATATTAACCAAATTATTTCGTTAGGTCTACCTAAATCCTAATAATTAAATTAATTTTCCAATGTATTTGAACTAAAAAGTATCCTAACGGGTCGTTACTCGTCACGATTCGTTGCTATTGTTCACGATGTCGGGCATTTCGAGGTTCTCGGATCATTCCCGATCCGTTTGATCTGGTTCACCCGTCGTGGGATTCTCTCTGCTGCGCGAATATTCGCGTTGCACTTTGATGCCCGTTAATGAGAAAAACCCTACGGTTGTTGGGCACTCCGAGTGCACCTTTGTGTTCCCGTGCGAAGAGTTTTCAATTAGGGATACGTAGCCGAGTGTAACCACGCGTCACGCCGGAGGTAAACCGGATGCGCAATCATACCGTTGCGAAGCAGCTCCGCAAATTTCAGCCAATTACAATGAACCCTCGCGGTTGTTGCGAGACAAAGGTATTCGTACATCGGGCACGAAGCGTGCAGCACGGAGTTCCTAGAGAGAGGCGGTTGGTTACGCGTATACCCACATATTTCCGTGTGAAACATAGAATCTCGTCTACGGAGTTGGTCGGGGCGACGATAACACGCGCCGCCCGTCGTTCCCGTCGGCCGTATGTTTGGGTGTCGGGATTCCTTAAGATTCAAACGTGGCCCGGAACTCACTCGTAGATATAAGCCCTCTTTCACAGCTAATGGCCTAATGTCGGCTCTCGGACAAACGAGATTAAAAGTAGAATACCCAAAAGTATATGTGTGTGTGTGTGCGGAACGCGTAGGCACGCGTGCGCGACACGGAGTTCGTAACTGCCGCTATGGCTCATTCGTGATGCACATACCGCTTCGAAATGAACAGGCACGCGCGCGCTCGTCCGTAGATGGATTAAATTTCGTCTGCGAAATGCATAAAGCAGCTTTCAGTGAAATGAGCTTTTGAGCAAACGTCGACGGTGCCTCCGTAGAATGTAGCATTAATTTATTGTCGCGCACCTCTGTTACGCTACGCTCTCTTATTGCGCGTCGCCGTCACGCTCTCATTGTGCGCGCGGTCCGTGCATTATTAATATTTATTAAAATATTACGTCCGAAATTGCGCTTCTTGCAGCAACGTGATAAAGGCGCAGTAAAATCTTGAGATCCCGCCTTTCCTTCACATTTTCGTGGGTATACGTGGCCGTAAAAGATACCGGAACATAAAGTTTAGCTAGAACGTTCATCAGTACCTCATTTTCATGAAACAACGAGCATCGCTAACAATAAGTTCCGTCCGAAAAGCCAAGGTGCGTCTGAATTTGTGAATAGAAATGCGAATTACGGACACATCTTAAGCAGCGATTCCCAAGTGGAGTACGTTGAACATGCGCGGTCAGACGCAAGTAGTACAAACGGTTTGTAGTAAGCCGGTAATTTGTCTGGCACTACACTGTCATGCGCGGGAATGCGAACGTTCAAGCCGGTTTTCTGAGATTAAGAGGGAGAGAGAGAGAGTATATATTTAACTCTGGGATATGCTAAGATCCTTTGGAGTAGACAACAATAATAATAGTTGATTGTCGGATGTCTGTCGAGTCGATTAATCCAAATAGTTTGATTTAAACATATTTAATAACTCCATAAAGGAGAAAATTGAAAACGAGAGAGAGAGAGAGAGAGAAAGACACTTAATAGGTCGCACTTCATCATTAACTTCTAGTGTTCTACTGCATTCTTTCTCTCTCTCTCTCTCTCTCTCTCTCCCTCTCTACTTCTCTTTCTCCCTCTCTTTTTCTATATGTGTGTGTATGTGTGTGTGTGTTTGTACATGTGTGAAAACAGCTTCTTAAAAATTTTCAAGTTTCACTTCCATTACCCTTTACTCCGCGAAGATTATATCGGGCGATACGACGGGTTACTCGTGGCATACATTTATAAAATATTCACGACATCCCCGGGAAGCGACAAACGGCGTAATTTCACAGCGCGATTGCGAGCGCGATATTGAAGTAGCGGAATAATAATTGAGCGATGGCCAGATACAGATCTGATCCCGGTTAGATCTCTTCCGTCACAAGACGTACGACGACACATGCACGGGCCGGCCGTGGCCAGTTTTACTGGCGGTACCCGATATAAACGACGCCAGTCGTAATCCCAGATGCTCGCGCGGCTGCTCGGGATATAACGTTGCCGCTTGTAACAGCGTGTAATTGCGCTTACGGGAGTTTCGTTCCCCGCGGTACATACGAGTACATATGGTTCCTTTCGGCCGCACGTGGCTCGTGTAACAGCTGTAACAGCGGAAAAGAGAGAAGGCGATTGCGCGATCGCGTTTTCGTAAAGTTTTAATTACCCCTTCACCCGCGAATTTTTCGCTTACCTCGTGTTTTTCGTGATTCCTGAGATTTCGTCTCAACTTAGAGATGTAACGAGCGACGCGAATACAGAGAAGTTCCGAGCGCGTGGATTACAATATCGGATTCTCCGAGTGAAGTCGGATCCGCAATCGAATGCTTCTCATCTACACGTATATCGCAATCACTGTCTCTCTTCTGAGATACTTAGCAAGTACTGTGTGGTAAGTATGTTAACGTACAATTGAGCAAGAAATAAAATTAAAAAATTTTCCATGTGCATTGGGACTTTACATAAGTTACACATAGTATACTATGTGTTGACTTTTTTCTTATTAGAATAACATATTATATCAGAGTAATATACATATTTTCTTTTCTTTTTGTAAGCTAATTAGTTTCCAGACCTTTTTCCTTCTATTCTGTGTCAATTTTCGGATAATCTTCCCGAGCTTAACAGCAAGTTGAGGTTGAATATGCATGCGCGCCGTTTTCGGTGCGCGATATATATTTGACACATTTTGGAGTTATGTATAACAGATGATAGTATTCGGTTTGACACCATATGGCGCCATTCGCTGATAAAGTATACTTGATGATAATCATTTATTATTGCAGGCCATAACTAATCGATCTTTGGTTGTGCACGATGTGGGCCGAGGGAGATTGGATTAAATCTAAGAACCAAGTCACAGTTGCACACGCGTGGACAACGAGAAATTCACGGAGATCGCGAAGTAAATTTAGCTGCTCTTTCTTCAAAGTTGTATTGAAATATCTCAAGTTTTATTGCCAGTATTCTAGTTTAGCTGGTATCAAGTATCTCGCCAATTCCCGAACTTGGACAGAAAGGTAACTCGCGCTTCTAAAATTTTACGTTATTTTATTTTATTATTTATAGCACAATTATCGAGCAGTGTACGGGAATTGTGAGAATTGTGAGAATTTACATATATAAAAATACTTATATCAACGACATTGCAATAAAAATTGCAACGTAGCATTTTTCAACGTTGAATAATTCCGGTAGTGACGGAAAAAGCAGAAGCAAAATTCCCGTTTGTAAGAGAAAACTTGCATATTTAAAGCTTTATTTATTTTATCTTATAGAACACTCTCACGTAGACACCCGAGTGAGAAAGAAAAGAGAATAGAAGAGAGGAGGGGAGAGAGTACTTATACTGCAACTGCATCAACTGTTAATGTGTTGTTAATGTGGTGTTAATGGAGTTGTAGTTTCTACTCAAACTTCCTACTCCAAATATTCCGTAAGTTAACACGAAAGCTTTAGAAGCTTCAGATTTTTTTCTCAAAAATAAAAAGCAGCTTCCGCTTTCTCTAACCGGTACGTCAATGAATAATAAGCTCTAAGTGTACACTAGGCACGAGACGTTGTTTTCATATTTCAAGTGATAAGAAGACAAGTGTGGGTAAAGGAGACGTGTCATATTTATAAGAGTTATCGTTCGTAAGTTTAATTGAAAATTACAGGAACGACTTAATAATGATTTGATAATGCACGAGAACCTCTCAGTCGGTGGATTAAATTACTACTAAATTCGTATCACACTTTATCTCGTGTATACGTGGATAATTAAATTACAGAGATACATTAAAGTGGATAATAATCATTTGTCTCGCTTAATCTCATTTAATCCTATAAAAATACGATGCACTCGTCTTACTCATTCGGCTCTTCGGTACCGTCGTATGCGTCTCGGAACAGCTTAGCTGTTTTTATTCGCACTTCTGAAATCATACATGCGACGTCTCGCGTCCAAGCAGCGGACGCAACTTCTGCACGACTGAAGTTCTCGTTCAAGCGGGATTTATTTGGGTCTTATTTACACATTTAGCGGTGCCAGTTGCCGCTCGGAAACTCAGCTCGCGTAATGCGATTATTGGACCTTTATCAAAGCGATGATAAAAGCGATTCGCTCGCTCGCTCGCGCGGATTAACGAGACGCGAACTCGTAGAATTACACATCGGCCGAGCATCGCGTAAACGTATGATTAAAGTTGCGCGGTTTAACGAGCGTATTCCCGTTTCTCGCGAGATTAACGGTAGCGCGCGGAGGAGATGGGATTCTTGGATTCACGGCGGGCCGCCGCAAATCAGGTCGTCCACAAATCACCAGGCGTGTTTCGCGAAACGCTCTGCGCGGCTAGGACGAGGGGGAAAGGATGGAAAAAAGCGGCGGGGCATAATATTCCGCAAAACTACGGAGTCACGTCGCGATGCGGCGCGCCGCTTGATTTAATGTAACGTTACACGTCATACGCGTGACGTTAATAGCGCCGCACGAATTCGGTAATGAACGCGTTAGGCGGCGCTAGACGGAGAGGAAGAATGAATTATCGCGCCGTATCGTGTGTCGTCTCCTTTTCGCTCGAATCTCGAAATATTAATAACGCGGAAATAACGTATATCTGCGAGCGAGAGTTGGTTCGCCGCATAGAACGAACGAAGCGTGACTACGGTTTCCGTTTCATCGAGAGTATCGCGACAGTCTCGCGATTGAAATACTTCTGTTTCAGAATCGTATGGATCGTGATACATTGTGTGATAATAAGCGGCTTGCTGTTCATCGTTCACTCCTCTTACCTCGCATTCGTGATGTCGCCTATACTGACCACCATGGACTCGGATAGTTACCACACTACCAAATTAAATTTCCCAGGTACGGCTGTTTCTCGAGACTTCTGTGTTAAAGTGAATGTCCCAATTTGTGACAATCGTATCTGTTCTTCTTAATTATTTAAATAATACATGTTTATCCTAAACAATGTGTTTTTATCCTAAATTTTATATATTATTTGTTATGACAAGTTTCGATTAAAAACCATAGTGAATGCTAGAGCGTAATAATTATAAGCGTGCTCTAACGGTGACAGTTCCAACAGTTTTTGTAGACATCTTAGAAATTAGTCGTTAATATAAGGCTAGTTATAACTTAATCCTTTAAAATTTGGCAAATAGTACAAATATGAGTTCTTAGTCTATCAATATCATGTTAAGTCAGTAATACGTCCATGATTCTATGCCAATTTGTAACATTCGAATAATGATTTTTACCTGTTAGTAATACAGCTGTTCGTCACCTATCAGTAATATAGGCATATTTGTGTTACAAATTGGAACAAAATCAAATTTACATGTTACCGAATGGTACTTCCGTCACTTTGGCAAACATATTGCAACTTAATCAAAATTGAACCATAAATTAAAAAAAATCTAATACAATCAGACTCTCAAACGTTTACATTTTTTAATAAAATAAATATTATGTGCTTAATATGTGTGTATTATTATAATAATTGACCAATTTATTTTCACGATGAGACTACTCTGTCACTAATTGGGGCATTCATATTCGTAATTACAAATTAGAAAGACAAGAAGTAAAGACAAAGCGTCATTGTTTCTTTTCTTTCCTCCCCTTTTTTTACTTGTCCTGCTTGTTAATTTTTACCCGTTCATTACCAACGAATACTGACAAAGGACGCATGCCTCGATAATTTTTAGGAATCGCCATCTGCTCCATCAACCGAATAAGTCGCAAATCCGCTGTCACGATGGCAACCAGAATGTGAGCGATTTTGTGTATATTAAATAAACGCACTCCACATTAGCGTATTATATTAAATAAGCGCGACGGTGCGTGCACGGGCGCGAAGTGGCGGCGCACACACAAGCACGGGGCCCGTCGGTTTGCGATGCGCGCGAATACACATGTAATTTCGCTCTGCTATTCGCACCGGATCGCAGCCCGATCGCACCGCGGATCGATCCTGGTCGACCGCCGCAAAGTTGTCGGCACCAGTCGGTTTAACGCGTGTATTATTCCGCGAATTTTCTCCGTAGACGCGTGAAAACAGCGCGCGTGTTAACCGGAGCGACGCGAATCGCAAACTCCCGTCCGCAAATCGCCGCGTATCCCAATCGGCAAACCGGCACACACACATACACACACACGCGTGATCATGAGAATTACTTTTGGATTATATCAGCTAATAAAGCGGTAATGCAAATATTTGCCGATGCTTGTCGGTATTTCATTAATATAACGTTACGCGTTATCATTAACCTTTTCCCGATTGCCGCCGGCTACTTCGAGTCCACACGCGTCTATGAACAAATCTCCACGACAGCAAATATCTGTTCTCTGGTTTATTATCATCCCAAATATCCGCAAAATCGCGCAAAATCCGCAACTAAACGTAATATCCGTAATTAAACCCGTAAAATCTCAAACACGCGATTCTAACTCCACTCTCACTCCGGTTGAAAAATTCCTCGAGGACCGACTCTGTTCCTCCGTTCCGTTGTAATTACTAATGGAGTATCCGGTAACCATATTAAATGACCGACGACGAGATTGATGTTCGCGAAAGATTAACGACGATGGACAAGCGATGGGTGGATTCTCGACGATCGAGGGGTACCATTGATTTGACAAACGATACGTCTGTGGGTCCCGGCTGCGTGGCCCAGACACGTACGTACGGTCGAGAGAAAGAGAGGAAGAGAGAGAGAGAGAGAGAGAGAGAGACGGTGGATTCAGTAAACACGCTGGAATTTCTGTAGGAGCGTTTCGACCAAGGGCAGAGCAGATAGGGTCGACTCGTCCGGTTGACGTGCGATATATACGGGAAGCTTAATCGACCGGTCAACGCGTTGGGTTCCTGGCCCCTTTTTTACCTTAACGGCGAGTCAATTGGCGCGGCCGATTATCGTTAATTCGTCCGCTGCGCGAGCACTCGGAACGCAACGAGAGAGGATCGCGCATTGATAGAGAGCGTAGAATCGTGGTTACGGCTCATTAATCGGGGGCGTTAATTTCCGAAAATCCAGGCGTTTCGTGCGACACCGTCGCCAACGCGCCGCACTCCAAGCGCTTCGGTCTGCGCAAACTTTCCCCGACCCGTTAATGGAGGGGATGTTTCCGGAACCGTTGACTCGGAACCGGAAACCGAAGTTTCGCCTAAGTATGTTAGACGCGAGTTTTCGCTTCGCTCGCGCGTCGATTAATGCCGTTTCGATTTTCGCACGAGCCGCGGTACACATCGGGAAACATTTTGTAGTTGTTTGTTAAAATCGGTCCTTGTTAAAATTCCTGTGCTAAATTTCTAGCATACCGTCTGTTAATTTAACGTATCGTATTTATGCCATCTCGATATTTTATATTGAGTCGATATTCAATGTGTAAATGTTAAAATAATATATTTTAAATTTCAATATCGGTCAATTTATGAATATTAATTTCGTGTTATTTTTAACATATTTACCTTGTTAAATTAATATAAAAAAATGTATGTCCGTGTATTTACCGTATTAAATTAATATAAAAAAATGTATGTCGACCGTTTGAAATATATGTGAAATGTTTTAAATTTAACACAAAATTTTTTACTATGTGCACACGTATACACCATCGCGCATTATTGATCGTCAATTTCGAATATTAGACATATTAACGTTAGAAAACTCGACGAGAGAAGCAGCTCTCTCTCTTTCTCTCTTTTTCTCTCTTGGCTAACGTTCTCGGGATAAGCGCCTGATACTTTTAGAGCTCTGCTTAATAATTGCACGCGTGTATTTTGCACGAGGCGCACCGTTCCCGCATTATCGCGTGGAGCCGCCGGAGAATGAAAGCGAGTTCGGGGATAAAGTAATACCGCGGTTTTCCATAACGGCAAATTACCATTTTATCGCGAGTATTAGGGAGAGCGTGCTATAATAACGGAACAGTATCGGACGGTGTGGCGTCGAGATAGTTCTCGTTGTACTTCGATATTAACAAATATTTTGTATCCAATGCTTCTCTATGAATAATTTCTCATTTCAGTATTTCTACTCTTCGTACCTAAATCCATGTCTAAATTTCTCAAATTCTTTCAAGATTAACTAAATTTAACTTCCTTTACATGGAATCTCTCATGTGATTTCTCACACATTCTACGTATTTCCGTTTAAGTACTTTTGTATTCGCGTGCAAATTTCTCAAATTCTTTTGACCACGATAAATTTAAATCGGCTAAGGAATGAGAAACGCGCGATACGCTATTCTGGCAACAATTTCCGAATTCGACTCGAGGCGTTCCAAAATAAACGACTCGCATGAAAACGTGGCGCACGGTGCTGCGTTTTTATACGGTTATCGCATAATTGAACAGTTCGCTGCTACTGACCGCGTTAAATCGCGATTACGTTTTATGGCGGTGCGAAAAGTAAATCAGTACTTAGGAAATTGTTCTCGCTTAACTTCGCCCGATTGATCGATATCGCTTAATTGAAGTACGAGTATGCAAATTTTTATGACGCTATTAAAGCGCCGCTCATTGCTCGCGATCGCTTATTAAGCGGTCGATCGATTAAATTCATTAGACTCGCGCGAGTCATTGAAATCGTCCTGTCTACCGGCAGTGCGCCCGGAGCTTATTCGTGCATCAATTAAAAATATTTCGAATACAGTTTGCGCCACGAATTCAGCGGAAACATCATTAAACATTATTTTCCGAAATCAGTTTTCACGCAAACGTCACGGATCTGTCAGTCGGCGAAATCCTCGGCTTGCTTGTCCAGCTGGGCAGTCAGTATGCGTCCGAATTCGAAATGGACAAAAATCGCAATAAGCAGGTCCATCAACTTTTAACGACCTATTACGAGGGAGATTACGATATGATCGACATAATGAAAACTGTACGTATGTGGAATCAAATTACATTTACTCCATATCCGGCGCAAGCCGGCGTGAGTCAGCGTTATTGCCGAATATTTTTGTCGCCCCGGCTTTCTTCCTTCAGGATTTTCTACATTATGTATGTTATGTAACAACGATCGTTTCAAATTCGTTAAATCACGACGTCACGCAGAGTACAGTGATAAAAGCCCGAGTTGAAATTCGGCGATTTCGCGATGATGATTTCAAATGCAAATTTCCCGAGTAGCGCGATCGTGTTACTTTCCGCCGACCCTTCCGCTCTTTTTCGCGAATGTTTGATACATTAATTCGTCCTAACTTTTGGCTTTCCGGCGATTCGGGCAAACAGTAATCACCCTCTGCGGCGGGCTATATTTATGCGCGATAAAGTTGCGTTAAACGAGAGGCTTCCCCGGGAGATCAATTAAAACATTATTTGCACGGCACTTCGCGTGTCGCGGTCGAGAAGCGTGTTATCGCGCAGGGAGTTGCCGGCTATTCACAGCGACACGTGTCGCATGACTGAATTTTCCAGCTGTCGCCGCCGTGCTCGACTATGTTACTGAAATGCAAACTGCACGGGAAAATCCAAAACTGCTCGAGGCTTTTCACGTTTCGCAAGACGCAGGACGGATTTTGCTGCGCCTTCAATTACGCGCGTGAAGACGACGACATTCCCGTGTGAGTATATCTCGCTTTTAATGAATTTTCCGGCTACAGTGGTGGAGAATGGACAACGTGTGCTGGCTTAATTACTTATTCGACTGGTATACCCACGAGTACGCAACACGGTAGCGCGTTCCGCTCGTAGAAAGGCAGGATTTACGTGCTTTCAGTATAATCTAACGAATGATCGATAATGAATACCATAAGCGGCGCGAAACTTGGTATTCATTATCGATCGTTCGGCTTTTCACGTCGTTGAGAAAGAATAAAAAAGTATGACGGCTATATTCAATTTGTGACTCTATAACGCTGTTAAGTGTAAGTTCAAGTCACTTGAAAAATTAACGAAGACGGCGTACGACAACGTTGGGATCCTCGAATGCAGAGAGCTCTAAAGTGATTAAAATAAATTACGGAGAATTTGTGAGGTTGTTCTGGAGTAAGAAAGATCGTTTCATTCGCAGGAACTGACTTAGGATATAATAATCGAACAATTTTAAAATTTTCTTGACTTTATGTTTCTCATGATGTTCCATTCGTTTTTTCTACTTTTCCGTTATTTTTAATTGATACATACATCTGTTGATAGAATGCCGGACGTGCTGAAATCGATCCCAGTGTACCCAGTGTACGATCTCGGGATAGATCGCGGTCTCACTGTCCTGTTGGATCCATTTCTCGATGATTATTTCTACCAAATACTACCCATTATGGGTTGGAAGGCAAGTAGAACCGGCGCGTCGTTTAAAACCGTCGAGAAATTTAAACGGTGATTTCTAATACTCCACACCCGTGAGGATCATTCTATTCCCGAGCTAGAATCGAATTTGCTATCCAGAAGAATTTATGTTTATTGTTCGCACTAGATAAAAGTTTGGTAAATCTTTCGTATTAATTGAACGAAAAAATGACTTCATTTGGTTCAGGTCGTTAGATGCTCGGGACATGGTATATGATTGTAAAAGATATTCCTAAAATATCAGTCATGGAAAGATTGCGATCGTTCAAAATAGATTTAAATAAACCGATCGCGAGTTTAAATAATCTTATCAATCGCAATTTGAAATCTGATTAAGGATGTTGTAAAGTTCAATGTCATTAAAAATAAAAATTAAAAATAGCACGCTAATTTTAAGGAACACGTGTAAAAAGTTTAGCAGTCACTTTAGTTGCAAAGATGTCACGTGATATTATATAGAGAATAAATTCCTTTAATCGCTTCCGTTATTTATAAAAATACGCATATATTTAAGAAATAATCCTGCAATAACACCTATACATCTACAAACATTTACATTTATATAATGACAATGGATAATAACATAAAAAAATACAGATACGACGGAACGTCAGAATACATCGCGATTATTTATCTCTATTCAACATATATATCCGGTCTAATACATAATGTATGAAAGAAGCTCGCATTAGTTTTGCCCGGTAATATCATCGAGTCCGTTCGAGTCGCGAAAACGGGTCAATTCAGCTCGTAACGATTCGTTACGGCGAATGCTGAATATGAAAAGGGGCTAATGGAGTGAAATAAAGATTTATTCTCGCGATGCTTTATCGCGCCAAAAACCGTTAACGTTCAATTTTACGTCGAAACACCGCGAAATGTACCCACCTCTTTTGAATTTATTTAATAGAGATAATTGGAAAGTTGTGTCAATTTTGACTATAGTTTTTGGTGAATGGTTGTTGGTTAATTGGTTCTAAATAATTCAAATAAAACCATATATGTGCATCTCTCTCATTCCGCTCACACGTTTACACATTTTCGAGAATAAGAATAGGTAACAGAAATCTCGGTTACGTGTATTTATTAATTATTAGTTCTCTTTTAAATAGTACCAAACAATTATACAGCATTTCAATTAGATCGTTAGTCGATTCTGAAGATATCAGAATCCGTTGAAAAACTCGTGACCGCGAAGAAGCGCATGGATTTAACGCGAGTCATGTATATATTAATTACATGAAACACAAAACACGCGATTTTATATTTCGAAGAATTACCTCTCCAGTTATTATAATTAATGCGAAAACATATAGTCGCGTTTCGTGAATTAATAAAGAACTGTAGGAAAATATTTATTTTACGTACACGTGATGTACACATACTGAATTATCATGTCCATCGAATCTAATGCCGCGACGCGGGTAATCGGTAGCTGTATCATGCCTTGAACTTTTTCCGCGCTTGCCGCGCCATTACAAGCCACCTGTGCTTCATTCACGTATAGTGCACGGCGATAAAAAGCTCGCGAAGGTCATTAGCGGTAGCGATATAATCGCGCGCTTCCTTTACTTCGCCATATTTGCGGTGTAGTGTGTGTGTGTATGTGTCTATGTGTTATTTTAGGCTGTAACGGCACTTACGGAGAACTCGTATTCGGCGAAAACATGTCGGCAGATTCTTTTTGCTCTCCAGATATTTTTGCCGCACACCTTCTCCATGCCACTCGGATGCATCGCAAGATTATCCGGTTTTTTACAGGAACATCGCGATAAGAGATTTGTATTTTTTATCATACGTTTCTTTACATACGTCAAAACTAATAAATCATCGGATAAAGATTTTTCTCAGGGAAAAGAATGTTACGATATCTCGTGGAATCGACTGCTGTTCGTTCGTTCTCAACGAGTATACAGTATGTGTATAATTAATTGGTCTTTTTTATCGGTGCAAAGTCACCGACGTTATATAATTTTACCTCCGCGTTTTGAAAAAATATCGGTACACTTGGTTCATAAAAAATGCAGCGGAAGTAACAGTCTGGCCGTATTATGGTATTTCGGGTAAAATGTCAGCCGTGTAGTAATTAACCTGTGGAAATGGACCAGCGCATTACACAAATTACAGTGTCCCTTCTTGCAACGAAGCGTAAAAAGGAAAAACAGAAAAAAAAAGAAAAAATACAGAGGGAAACGTGTAAACTGCGTCGCACTGCGAAACCTGAGACTCACGAATAAACTTGAGTCGCGAAATAATGTATTATCACCTACGATGTTTACGATAATGTGTGGAATATTTTTTCGAATTATTCATACTCGCAATCCCAACTCTGCGATATACGTGCATCATTCACATTGTAATTCGATAACATTCTATCTAACCTAACTTACCCAAATAATAATAACCCCGAATAGGAAACCGGATATATTGCGTACGAAACTGAATATTGTCGAATATTTCATTTCTGAACATTGTAAAAACGATGCTGTTTGGTGCGACGTGGTTTGCTCGATAATTCGAGAATTATTTTCATCGTCCCGTCGATTGTTAAAAAGGCAATTCGCCGCAAATTAGAATCGCAGGCAGGTATATCTCGCGGTTTGCCGCTGATATTGTTTGAGGAAACATTCGACGTGTTGAGGGGGCACAACGAAAATATCACTATTATTCATTCGTCGAAATTACAAGATATTAATTCGAGCGTGAAATGTAAATGGTGAATGGAGAGTGAAAGAATAACGAGAGAGAAGTGGAGAAACTGGGCAGGTTTACAAAAAATTACTTCGCACACTGATGCGTACCTCACCGAAAAATCGCGATTAAGAGCGGTTACTCAATTTTCATGAAATCCGAGTGATTTATATTTCTGAGCTCTTGTATAAATTTTGAGGATATACTTTACACAATTGGATTCGCGATTTTCACGCTTTTCCCCGTACCATTAATTTGTTCGACATAATATACGGCTTACGTACAAAGTATGCACAAGTATGGTCAAAGATAAATATTTGTAATTTTCTGTTTTAATGCAACTTTCTCAGTTATACATTCGTTTAAAAAACAAAGCACGTTAAAATAAAAGGCTCTACCATTTTTAAGAGAGAGAGTGAGAGAGAGGGCGTTTAAAGCTGACAGTTCAATTCGTAGGAAAGCATTTACTGTATCTTATTTTACGTTGCCCCCAATGCCTTACACTACAATTTCAGCGTATTCTAGATACCGACGTGATCTTTAAAATATGTTACAAATAAACAGATTCAAAAATTTCTTTTCTTTTTATGATAGACTGAATATTATAAATATAAGCTTTGATTTCTAAGTCCTTTTCAGGATTGTCAATTGTACTGTCTCGCACTGCAAATTGCACAAATGATAACTTTTGTCATTAGCATTCAATGCAATTTATATCTAAGCATGTACTACATAATGTGGCTCTTTATAAGTTAACACTCACCATTGCTTGTCGATGTTCAACGACCGGCTATCTGAGATTTGCATCCGTCTTGCAGCGTCCACTCTTTTTGGCATCCAGTCTTCAGGTGTCCATGCGTCATCCCACGTCGATTGCATTTCACTACTTCACCGCGATAATACCTTACGTTTAACGATCGAACGAAAAGTATGCGATAAATTAGAGCGGTATGAAAATATATTCAATATATTCATGAATTCTGAATCGTGTGTAAAAAAGTCGCAAACCGAAAAATTCAAAAAAATCAAGATTGGAGAAAATATTAAAAAATATTCCCGTTTTTACGAACAATTACATTTTGTTAACAACCGTATTTTACATTTTATGTGAATTTCAATTTTGGAAAAAAAATAGAACATATCGTACACAACGGTTAATTTTGATTCAAATGACATTATAACCAGTTACGTATGAAAATTAAAAAAATTATGACCGCAATAATTGCAAAATTCATCACGAAAGAATCAAAATTATCGCGAATCTTATATATGGTAGCGCAATCCTGATACGCAATTTTATACTGCTCGAAATAATTAAGGAAGGTCTCATTAAATAAACAGTTCGGTCAAATAACTTTGTGTTATAAATCAAATGTAATAAGCACCAAAATATGATATTTAAACAGTGACTTCCTGATTATTTCAAACAGTGTATTTATGATAGACGGACGGCATAAACACATACATGCAAAATCCAACATACAAAAATCGATAAGCTGCATTGAGAAAAATAAAATAGTCGGTTTCAGTTTCACTAAAATTATAATTATTTTTATTTTATTTTATTTTTAGCATCAGTCATATTTTTGGATGTCTAATAATAATAACAACTGCATATAAAGTGATTATCACAAACACTATAGTAACGTTTATGAGAAAAATGGTTTTTTTTAAATTATAATTATTATGTAATCATAGTCACAAATTCTAAGTACGTTTCTTTCATTGTAGATAAATCGTATTGATTTTTTTTTATTAAACTTTTGCAAACACCCACTACCAATCAACCCATCACCTTTCATTTCTTATATTCTTCTTACTCACAAAAATGCCGAGTATTCAGGGCTGACCACGTTCTACGACAGATCTGAGGCAAAAAACATAATCTTGGTGATTAGATACAAAGCCTTAAAGACTTGACAAAAAAAATATGTGTAGATACGAAGTATTTATAAGTATCTAGTATTTATTAATCCTTCGCCCAACCGTTATAATTTAATGATTTTTATTTCTTCGAATACGCCCCAGTTTTCTATCGTAAGAAGTTTTATGCGAGAGCATAGGAAATTATTAAACTTACATTAGTAGACTTACCTTCGAGCTGACCCCGCTCGGCCCGAACCGGTTCCTCCGGTACGGCATCTGCGTCCACCGAAACCGTACTCATCGTATGCAAGTTTCGGCCGCAAGTTCTGCGATAGATCTGTAACCAAATTTAAAGATCCGGATTAGATATATTGATAAATCTCGTTTAAATGTAGTAAGAATAAAAAGATTTAAAACTATATATATTTCTGAAAAAAAAAACGTTTCATTCTTTCATTTTGACACTTATTCGACAATTCTTATCGGTCTTCCTATTGTTAGACTTAACTAATTAACTTTATGAACACATGTCACCCGTCTTTTCAGGTGATCCTGTTCGATCCTCACGACTATCCGGACGTGACCAGTGGAGGTGTAATAGAAATACTCGCGATGCCGAGCAGCGAGACTTATGTGGATGTAACCGCGACATCCTTCATCAGCACGAAAGCTATCGAGGGTTACTCCATAGCGAAGCGCAAGTGCATCTTTAGCAAGGAGATACAAACACTGTATGGCGGCACGCGCTACACTTACAGTGACTGCATAGTCGATTGCAAGATACACGACATTCAGAATCTCTGTGGATGCAGGCCATTCTTCTACCCGCGACGTGGCAAATACGAATGTTGGTATTCGAATTAAAATGACTTACTTCGTCGGGATTTACAAGGAGTATTCGCGCTATCTTCTCTCAAATTAACAATCACGCTTCTCGGAAATTAAAACTCTCCTTCATCTCCATCCATCTTCCTTTTCTCTGGATGGAGTTTGTTCGCGTATTAAAGCTTTCGTCAAGAAATTCTGTCGGGCGATGCAACACTTAAGACGTTGAAAAGAACTCATTACATAAATAGAGAAATGTAATATATTAAATATTCTAACGCTCGCGATTTTATTGTTCGCGACTCTATGGTTCTGAATTCTATTCCTTAGGAGTTTTTAGCTCCTAACTTACTTACAATCCCAATAAGCCCCGCGGATGGAAAACTTAACCGTTCGATTCTGACATTTCCTTTCCGAAAGTTTAAATTACAATTAGTAAAGTTTCAGAGTTACCCATTCGGCAAACATCTTTCGTACACAAACAGGTCAAGATATTGTAGACCGCCCTTTCAATTATTAAAAGCACGAAGTACCTCGGATTTTTCCGGATTTGTCTACAAATTTTTCCGACATATTTGGACTGGTTGTTTCTTAAAAAAAAAAAAAAAAAGGAATACCGAGCCATAGACGATATTAAATTATAAGCGATCAAACAACTCGAGATTATTCGCATTCCCAGATGCAAATAGATAACGAGCGTAAGGATATCCGTAAACGAACAAGAGGGCGGGTAAAATCTACGTATTCTGACACATTTATTGCGCTTTTGATCTTGCGTTTACGACTCACCGGGTCCACTAAATTCACCCGACGTCCGCTATCAAAGCGCGCGCGCACAGGTATCGAGAGGGTGTAAAAACACAGTGCGCGGCGATGACCGAACAGATCTCGTTAACGAAGACGGGCACGAGTTCGAGCCGGTGCGGGAGCGCAACGATCGCGAGCAATACTTCATTCATTTATCTATCGCATGGCCGCGCGGATCGTATCGCGCGGCTGAAAGCCCCGACGAAACGGCTTTCTCGATACTAACTCGATCGGGGCCCGTCCGACGAATCGCATTTCCGAGCGAGAACGAGTTTCGATGTTAATAGAACGGGCGGTAACGTTGGCGAACTCGTAAACTCGACGCCCGCGGAACCGCGGCTTCCATCGGAAGCCGCTCTTTCGCTTCTCTTTGCGTCGCGCCACAGTCTATCGAAGCTGACAATTCGGCAATATTGCCGGCAATCTTCTTCTCTCACCGCGTAACGCAAATCGCGTTGCCTCTTCCTCGCGCCTCTTGTTCCTCCCCTCGATTCTTCCTTATCGAATTTGGCTCTTTTACACTTTTCGCGACGGACGAAATCAGCCGCCGGGATAACGCGCCGTTACTTCATCATCCGTTAACGCGGAACTCGATTAAGATAGTTGGTCCGTCAAATTATTTTCTTAGGAATCCATTTAAATTTTAGCTGCTAATTGGTGGAAATAGTATCTTCACACGTCTGTAAAGTTAGAAAACGACTGATCATTCGGGAACTGATATTCGTAACGATGACACTTTTTATATATGTTTTTGAGGGAAATATTCCGTATTTTTAATATTTTATTTTTAATTTCTTCTAAATCACATGAAGGATTTAAGTAGAACGGATTAAACTGAACAGGAAAATCATTATTTTGCAAAAATCGTAACAGTTAATAATAATGAGGGATAATTAATTAATCTGTATGAATTAATGGTCGCACGGGAAACAGTAGGCCGGACTCTGTATAAAGTGTTGACGAAGGATCGACGAACGCTTGACTGCTGCCTAAACGGATATTGTGAATCAAGCATAAAGCGTTGACAGAAATGCAGGCAGTTTTACGTTCCGGTAACATTTTGTGAGATGACAAAAAATTCATTGAGAACTTGCGAAGCTCTTCGCTTCGCCGATAGCGTGACTCTTTATTCCCGTCCGTCAATAATCGCAAAATCAATGAACGAGGAGAAACGGGAAATCAATCTATGCGAGAAACCGATGCGATAACGTCATCGGCAACGTATCTTCCAAAGCCAAAAAGATTTCCTTCCAATCCCCTACGTCCTTCTCGCACATTCACTTGTGCCTCGATTTTCTCTTTCTTCCCTTTTCTCGTCGCAAGAATCGGGAAGAAAGGGAAGCCCGCACTAATAACCGTCGAATCGACCAGGTACGAACTAAGCTTCCATTTTAAGAAAGTATGTTTATTTAAGGATTCGTCGCAAAAATGGTAATTATTAATTGAATATGCCAAAATATAGAGGCGAATTTAAGTTCCGTGTGCAATAATAATGTTTCGATTGGGGCTGCAATCGCGGCGATTCGACGAAAGTGCATACGTTCCGCTTTTTTAATCAGTCAGAAATATCGCCAGCGGGACTAGAGAAATGAGATTCAGACAGCCGATACGGGGACCGATCGTATCTCATTGGACAAATCGGGTTTCCTCAGAGCCGCGTAACCTCCTACATCTCGGGCGATTTCTTTCTTCTATCACGAAGTCGAGAGGCGTGGGCGGCAATCTGTAAAGGAACGCCGGTCGCTCACCGCATTGCGAAGCGTACGTTCGCGAGCTTTCTAACGAGGCTTTACCATGGGTGGCTTTAAAGCATTAAAGCGGATCGCACGAAGCACCCACTGTGTAGGATTAACTTACCGTGGCCGAGGCTAGGTAAAGGAGAGGAACGCGTTGAAAGCGGAACGCCGAGTTCCCTTCTGCCCTCCCCCTTCCCTTTCCCTGTCCCTCTCTCTCTTTATTTCACTCTCCCTCTTTATCTCCCACTCTCACCATTTCTCTTTCTCTCTCGCACCCTTTCCCCGTTCTTTCCGTTTTAAAGCCGTTCCCCGATTGCTCTTTTTCTCGCGCTTCATCGATAGCGCAGGGCGTGCTTGGACTCGTTTTTCTCGCAGCTGCCTCCTCCGTTCTCCATATTAATCAACAACACGTGCAACGACGCGCACCACCACTCGACGTATCCCGGCGTTCTCCTCTCCTCTTCATATACCGGCTCGAAGTGCGCATTTTGCCCCCTTCTCCCGCGAACTTTCGGAGCGCGATATTCTCTTTATCTACTTTTGTTTAACGGTGCGGCTGAATTCCGACGATGACGTAACTTTCCTTCGTCCGTGGCAGGGTTAAGGAAGCGATATAGCGAAAGGCGTCGAGATTACGGCGAACGGTACGAAATGCTGGACGATTTTTAACGATGCTTGCGATTACCGATTTGTAATTATTTATCATCGATAAAAATCGCGTCAAAAACTTCTTTTTATATCGCGATCTTGGTATATTCGAGATAAAATACTTATCTTAATAAGACTTGTTAAAAAGTTATCTTCAGTTTGGGTTGAATTGGTTAGATATCGCGTGATTATTTCGATTACCGTGACACGAGACGAAAGACACTTTTCTGTTGAACAGTTTCGCAAAATTCTGACTTTTCAAAATATTACTCTCACGGGCATTTTTTATTCGTTAGAATTATGCCGCAAAGTATACTCGTGTACAGTGCATATTTAAATCTATTTTATGTCTCACATATGCTTCGTTATGTAATTTAGATGCAATTCGTATATGCAACAACATGGACTTGGATTGCTTGGCGAAGTACAAGTGTAAGTGCCATTAGTACACTATTGTTTGTAAATAACAGCTTTCTTTTTCTTTCTTACATAAGGTAGTTTTCAAAATTCTAATTACTCGCAAGATTAAGAAAGTTATTCTTAAAAAGTAAATCGTTATTGTTATTGTTGCTCAATTAGGAAAATAACTATTTTTCGTTTTTATTAGTCAAGAAATAACGAGTTATTACTGTTTGTTATTGAAGAAAAAATAATTTATAACGGTAACAGCGTTACTTTATGACATTATGGTCAATTGCTTCATTACAAATTACAACTTAACAATTATTCCAATTATCAGTTACGTAATTGACCAGTGAATGAACTTTTAATTTCTCCTTTCACTGTTCTAGCTAAATGGTGGACCGTTTTTCCTCACGATGACTCGAACAACGATGAGCATATTCTACACCAACCTGATGGCCTACACTGTCGCAGTTGCTATCCCGTCTGCGAGGATACTACGTATGATGTACTGAGTTCAAAGAGTTACATGACTCCTGGTACATACATGACCGAATTTTTGTAAGTATATTACCGATATTGTTTTCGATGCGAAATCTATCCGAATATGGCAATTCCCGAAAGAGGTGGCGAGATATGAGTTGTTCATTCAAATTTCAGGCGAAATGCCACCATTAATGATCAAGCGATATTGCATGTATTTTTCTCAAAATACGGCTCGATCAGATTGAAACAGGATGTGGCTTATTACTGGTACGAACTCATGAGTAAGTACATATCGACGAGAAATTCTATTTCAGCTGGGGGTTCTCAACGATGTTTTATTGTTCAGGGTTTTAGATTTTACCACAAATTCAAATATTTTGTCGCGAAATAAGCTCTAATAACTATATTTTTCAGAGAAGAATTGTAGTAGAATATAATTTAATAATTTGAATGTAAGACTAGTATAATAGGGAGCAGATTCCTCATTCTATTCATATTCCTTCTATTGAGAACCTTGTAATTATGCGTTTAATGCGGCTTCGTAGAGCAGATTTAAAATAATTAAATTCCCTATGGTAATTCGAATCGAAAAACGTAAATCCCATTGCGCGCACTCGAAGAATCAATGAAAATCTCGAGATATATAATACTACAAACTATTACCCTACTTTGATGGTACAAACGGTTGTTTATTGCCATATTGCGTCTCGAAGAAAAGTGTATTTCATAATTATTATATTATTATATTTAAATATTCTATCTGCATTTTGTGTTTATTTTTATTTGTAATAATCAATATACATTAATTATATTTATTAATATAGATTAATTATGTAACTTATTTAACTGCAGGTAAAATATGTACAATAAACAAATGTTAAACAAATGTTAAATAATCTAATGAAGATTAATGGATAAATAATGGGATTAACGAGTAAATAATAAGCTTAATCAGTAAATAAAGTAAAACACATTCTCTGTTTATCAAACAGGTATCAATATCGGAAATATTTTGCAAAATAAATAGTTTGACTTACTTGGAAATATATAATATTTCGCTATCCGCATCCTCCGTACAATCTTTCTGATCCAGCATCTTGGTTCCCAGATGTCTCATCGTGGTACTCTGAATATTCACCCGTAACACTGACATTCGTGTTGACACAACTGCAATCGAAGAAAAGGATGTTAATTAACACGATACCGACGAGAACACGAAATATTTTAACATCCAATGTGAATGACTAACGCACCGATATATGTACTAAATACATACCGCGTCGCGTATACGTCACTTACCTTCGCATATAATCACTCGATTACGGAGCGACGGGCGAGAGCATCAAAACAATGAGCAAAAAATGCTACGTCGCACCCGTTGCCGTCAGCCGCGTAACGATCGAGCGATCGCAACAATCAACATTCCCCAAACATTCCTGACCTTCAAGGTAGTCAAACTTACCCGCTTGCGTTGCGCACTTTTGCGAATGTATCAATTACGTTACTTTACGTGAATGACACGCGTACCATATAATGTATGTATCAGCGCGTTAGTTTATCGTTCTCGTCGAGTGATTATATGCGAGTGAAATATCTGGTTGCCTTTTGAAATGTGCAATCGGGTACTCATCGATATCGCTTTAATACGTTTTTTTTAACCGAATTTTCGCGAATGTCATTGTCACGAGCAGTCAGGGACCAGAAGATGCTAGGTCGGAAAATACAATACGCCGGAATATAGACAGCGATCATATATTCCGAAGTTTGTCACATTTTTTCTCTTTTATTTAACTCTATTATTGTATCTAATCAAAATTTCAGCCTTTATCAGTACATAGCATTATTAAATAATTGCTATTTTCACACTTACAAATATTTTCTTTTCATCCCCTTTAAATCTTCTATCCAAATTACGAATGAAAGTAAGAAGAAGAAAGTATAACAAAGAGATTATAGGAAAAGTCTATTGCTTTATCTACCCATTAATTTCATTATTTATTCATATTATTTAATATTTGCTTACTTCACATATTCCATTTATAATTTAATAAATTGTGTAATGGATACATTGCTTTTAGATATTATTGCGAATATATTTAAATTAAAAATGAAGATTAAATGGAAATAGAATATTTAAATAATCGAATTATTTTCAAATAAATTCTTTAAATCTTAACATGGAGAGAACAGCAATGTGTGTAATCTTTTGTAACATTCAAAGAAGACAATAGACTATATAATGTCTTAGAGATTCTCCATTTGGTTCTTCATGTTTGGTAGAATTTGTGAAGTTGCAAAAAATATTATATCAACGTTTAAGAATCTCTTATTACTACTCTTTTTGATAATATTATTAATTTATTTATTAATACTCTTTTTGATAATAAACAGATATTTCGCCGTAATGAAATCTTTGAGAAAAAATTAAATGAGACTCGTGGTATTACAATTTTCAATTAGATGCGCGCATATCGCGAAGAAATTATAACTGCTTTAAAAAAAATTGGCATTGTGTTCGTGGTGAAAAGTAGCAATGGAAAAACCCTTTCTACAGTTGACACAAAACATACGAAAAGAAGTATCTTTATGGGCGAAGGCAAAGTAGGCGAAGGGAAATTTTCCGTCCGCACCGTTCACGGTACGCCGGAGAGTTCTCAAAAATGGAATTTTAATATCCGACTGCGTGAAACGTTTCTGCACTTTAGCCGGTTCCCGTGCAAAAAAAATGATAATATTTTTTTCCTCGCGTGGAGCGCAATTTCTAGTCACTGGCGCTCACTTTGTGGGCAAATTGCTGAAAAGAGAGTTCTCGACGAATACCGTAAAAGATTTATTGGACGTTCAGCCAATCTTGTTATTTGTAATCTAATAATAAAAAAATGTAAATAGAGAGCATGAGTTTAAAATATATACATGTATATATGTATAGGTAAATGCACACGTGTATGGAGAAAATTATGATATCGAATTTGAATTAAGCTGTGCCCGAATCTCACTTACATCGTTTATACCGGTGAAATTTATTAATAAAAAAAAAAATATATAAAATTTTTAGCCAAAAAGCAATACCGTGTTTGTGGAAATTGGCGGGGATTTGCTTGGAGAATGCTTTGTTCTGATTTAGAAATGCGACTTTTCGTATTTTTGTCCCACATTCTTAGATATTGACAAATGTACTTAGCGGTTCATACAGATTAGAGAAATCGGGAAAGATGGTAATGCTTAAAACTAATAGATGGTCATTTTCATTTCGGCTCTAATTCCCACCCTATCGTAAATTCTACGTTTATTTGAATTCGCTATGCAGCGCGGTTATTACCTTTTCATGTTGTTAGCTAACTAACTCGCCGGTACGCGCGACAATAATTCTGTATTTGTCCATATACAGTTGACGAAAAAGTTATCCGGCTGTACGTGGATGCGAATGTGCGACGAGTATATTAATACACGGGGAGAACGTAAATTTCTATCCCTATCCGTCGTTATACGAACCGGCTATAAAAAGGAAGCGCGCACCTCGTTCTATCCGACCTGGCGAAGCATTGATTAAAGAGCGGTGAGCTTGTAAAGCGGCAAAGGAGCGAGGGGCGGCGGTATCGTTGTAAAAATCCGCTATCGCTTTCGCAGCGCGAATCGCTGCCGCGGAACGTTTCTTGGCCCTTTAAGAGCGACATTAAAAAACGGGCCGTTTCGATCGTCCTTATCTTAGAGCGCTATCGAGACGCTGTAAAGGCTGGTCGTTTTGCAGGCGATATCGGCGGTATATGCGGCGTCTTCATCGGCTTCAGCCTCATCAGCGTCGTGGAGATTCTGTACTTCGTCATGCTCGTCTTCCGCGAAATGCTCTGCAAGAGATGGGTAATAGAGGACGAAAGCCGCGAGAAAGAAATTCCGAACCAGCCGATACGAACGATTTATTGGAGCGAGTTACTGCCGCGAACCTGGCAGGCGGCGCCTTATTACGGTCATCTTCCGAAAAATAGGACCAAATACTAATTAAACCGACGGTTGTTCCCGTGTGTGTTCGATCAATTGCACTGTGTTAGAATCACATCCCGAGTTGAAATTTTAATGCTACTCTGACGTTCTCAAGAATAATTCGCACCTACTTAGACGGCCTATAAATTAATAAAAACCTACTTTGACAATACTGACAGTTTTTTAACTTCTCTCTCGAACCTTTAATTCTACAAATTGAATTTTAACGTTACCTTCAGCAACCTATTTTGCTGCAAAAACAGAGAAAATTGAAATTGAAGATATTATCAGAGTCGAGAAATAGGGGTTATATAATATTATTAGAATTATTGAACCTATTTTGCTATCTTAGCTCCTATTATGTTATAGAATTAAAGGTTTAACATAAGGCAAAATTTCGACTTGCGACCGTTTCTATTCCACGTGATCTGTAGATATAGTCAGCCGAAGAGTATCGCTTTGAATTAACGCGAGAAAATTTTACCTCTCATACATTTTAACGAAACGCGATACACGAGAGAGACTCTTAACATTCAAATTGCGGATTATTATTTGCCGATCTGTATTTCATGCGCTTATGCTCAACTGTATACAAATATAACGTATAAATCAAACATATATTCTAATATATTATATTATTTACCTATGATTATACGTAAACATGATGTGATTCGTCAGCAATAATCAAGGTGAGATCAAAGTTTCGGTTAGGCATGTTATGCGATAATGCGTGTAATATTTATAATAAATAACAACGCACGGATTACGCAAATGCGGTACCGATGTATGTCGAAGCCTTTGTCCTTTCGTCGGAGTGCTATGTTACATAACCGAGTTGCGTTCTCGCTTTTACAATGGATAACAATGGGGAGCTCAGACCGCCTGGAAAATTAGTTTTGAGCATTACCGAGAGAATAAAGCATAAAAGATCCGGTCTCATTGTCAGTCGTCGTAGCGCCGTTGTAATGGTGCCATATAATGCCATGTCGGAAAATCCGGTATCAACAATACGTGTTGGAAAATGTGAGCCACGATAGTGGTAATGATATTGCAGAACTGCCTCGAGCCAAAATTTTCATTCTACATTAACTCTACAAATTCCGTTAAATTTGAAGCGCCAATGGAGAATATCGAAATTTAATATTATACGGTTATAATATATGTAATCCCCCACCTCGTCTTTATATTATATAAATGTTGCTTAACTCTGAAAATAACACTCGGGATCTCGATGTTGAAGTAACATCATAGGTCTCTCAAGCTTATATTATGAAAAAAATCGTAAAATTCATGGTTTTCGGCATTTTTTTAAATCACTTACATTTATTAAGTTTATTACCAATTTTTTTTTTTTATTGTCTTTATAGACTAGTTGTCACCAGGAAGCCAGTTATCTTATTGTCAGGATAATAATAGCAATAGTCACGCATGAATCTAACTTGTTTTCTAAATAACAGAGGAATAGGACATAGCGTCTTGCACAAAACATGAAAAGGGGATAAACGAAAGAAAATGCCTCGTAGGCCTAGCATGTTATTGTCTAGGTTAAGGCCATTTTCCCCGTGTCAAGACGAAGATTTATTTTCGAATTATCTAATATTCGATTATCGCAATATTCGTTGAGATTGGAAATCTGTTGTATATATAATAAATGATTTCATACACCTCGTCGAAATATACGTTTCATTACCTGCATCTTGGCGTCCCCCGCCCGTCGTCCTGACTCCACATTTCGGTATCCCGGCTGCCGGCTCTTTCGTCGTGGCAGTCCGGATACTTACTCGCAGTGCCGATACTGGCCTTAACGCTCGCGTAAATACGAATCAAATGGAGATACGTACGTTAATTAACGCGATTCTGACGAAATTACTTTGCGCGGGATAAACGACGAACCTCCCAGCGAATGTCGCAGCGACAAAATGGCCATTTCATCCAAGTTGCACTTTATTGTAATTGTTACGAAGATCGCAAAAGAGTGCAAAAAGTACTGTTCGAAAATCGTAGTTCTATAGTTCACCGTGCGCAATGAGGTCGCGATGTACTGGATGTACGAAATGTTTGAATTTTCCGGCGCGCAGTATTACGGACGGTTACGCGGTGGCATCGTACGGCGGTTGGAGACGTGAAATAAAATTTGCTCATGGTAAGGTAAGTGACGCCCGAGTGAAGCAAAACGACTGGCGAGAAGGTCAAAGTCACGCGTGTCAGTCACTCACTGTCATTCTCGACGATTCTGTTCAGTACGGTCGGGGAATGACAACAATCGACGCTATCAAAACATCGCGGACTTTCGACACTCTCAAAACATGGCGAACTTTCAACGCTCTCAAAACATCGCGGACTTTCGAAGCTATCAGAACGACATTTCGTGAATCGCGTGTTCCTAATACTTTTCCGTATTCAAATCACTGTGCTTTGTATCGACGAGCGGTGAACATGTTATGACGCGACATACGTTCGTCGTATCGCTTTGTAGGTTATAATTCCGTTAATTAAGATATTCCGCGTACGCTGCGTGTATCGTTTCGCAGGTTATGATTTCCGTCTGCTTGTTAAGATATTAAACGCGGTTATCGAATTTCGGTCTCTCGTCGGGATCGCGTTAGTTAAGACGCGTTAACCTAACCTAACCTAACTTCCGGTCGAATCGTATCTAGGTGAGCATCGGTGCCACAAGTGAATATCCGGAGTGCCACAACGGAGTAACAGGGAGTCAGGATGCGGGATGCCGAAACGTGGACAGCGATACATCATGTACCTGCAGGTGCGTCAAATCATTTATTATGCAGTAAGTTCCCAATTCGGAGGAACGAGAATAGAGAGGTAATCGAGCCGAAATTAGGTCGATATTCATAGTTCGTCATCATTTGATAAATGATTATAGCTTCGTAACCACTGATTATTTAATAGGTTGTAAATGTTTATTGCAAAATGTTGTAGAATGAAGTTGGGAGCGCAGCAAAACTGTCATGATTGTTAGTTACTACCGACGAAAGAGCCGAAGTAACAAGGTGTGGAAATAAAAATGTTTAAGGTAATATGACAACGTCTTAACACTGGAAGTACTGAGCAGTCATTTCAGAAATGACCATTTGATACGCACATATCTAGTGTTAATATATTTAATTCAGTAAACACCGACTAACAATAACATTATAACAATATTATAATTTCTTATTCATCAATATAATTGTTGTATATAACACATGTTGTATTACATTGTTGCGTGAGAAATTATAACATTAATGTAATGTTACTGTTAATTAGTATTTACTGAGAAGAGTATCTTGCGTTTAACCATTGGTATTTGAAGAATTAAAACATCTTATGCTTTAAGTATATTCCGGGACTCCTGTCATAATCGATCATTATACAAGTCGTGACTTTCAATCGTGACAATTTGCTGCGCTTCCAATTTCATTGTGTCTAAATGGTTTTGTTACCAACTGTTATTTTTTGTGCAATAAGAAACATAGATCCAAGTAGTCGAATAACGATCAATATAATCAATATAAGTCTGCAATCAATAATACTCTCAATGAAAAAAATCGTGAATAATTTATAACTATGAACATCGGTCTTAAAATCTAATGTAAATCTCGCAAGTGTTGATTTGTGTGTTTATGTAATAATAAGACTTGATCTTTCAAAAAGTTGTCTTATGAGGGATTGTATGTGCCGGTGCAGCCGGTGTTGTTGTGTCGAAAACGATATCACTGGATAATAAGACATTATTAATGAGGGAAGTACTAAACAATAGGATGGCAGTTGTTTAGGAGAGTGAGAAGGAGAGGGAGAGAGAAAAGGGATTGTAGTATTCTCGTCATAAAAGCATGAATAGGATGATAGATATACAAGCTCGCATGGAAATTGTTATTCGCTCCGATGACGCTCGCCAGAGACACGTAATTAATTTCCGTGCAATTATGGTCTTCTTCGCGTAATAAATACTTGCGCGACTCTATGTTGGGAACGTTGCTTCGCTCGAGGGAGCGCGACGTTCGTCAGAACGTTTATAACGTTCTTGTTGAAATGACTTGAATGATTAGTGGTTGGCTCGCTTGACTTCACGAATATGCAACTTCGCAATCGGTATCGAGCGACTCGATATTACGGTAAATAGATTCGATTGTTTGCAAACGTGCTTGTTAGTACTCACGATATACGCAATTCCACAAATGTGCGCGCACGTCAATCACGTTTTATACGTTACTGAATTGGATATTTCATCGCTGTGTCGAACCTAATTATACGTGATGTAACGTTGGATTAATACAGACTCAGAAGAAGCTGCGAAGTTCGTAAGGGATAAGTTTTAATGTATACACTGCGAATAATACTGACGAGCTTTAGGGTTACTAATTTTCTGGAGGAAAATCAATGAGCAAATATTCACGTGAGCTTTATCGGTATACACTGAGAGAAAAAAATATGTAAAAAGAATCATTCGGTGGATACCAAATATTTACTTATACCAATATACATATTTTTACACTGAAAAATAAATTTTTTTAGGATGAGGAAATATATATGTTCTTCAATCTGTAGCTTTTCATGAGAAAAAACAATTGTTTATTCTATTTAAGTAAAAAAGTTTGAAAGATTTACAATAAATATGTTATTACTATCTACGGAGAAAATATTTTTTTTATTTTTCAAATATTTTTTTCCCAATTATTTATTAATTATGAGTCGTTTCATAAAAATCACTTGACCGGTTATGCGTCATGCGCGAGCTTTGCGAGGGCAACTCAAAGTAGTCTTTACGCGAAGATGAGGTCGGAGAAAGCGAATATTATTAACGGGACAGGTACTAAATGTTTCGCTGTATCGATGCCATCGACGGTGAGTTGAATGACGACACGACGACCGAGAACGCACAGGCAACGGGCGAAGAAAAATGCGGCTATCATAGCTGTGGCGGGGTAATAATCTTCCGTCGTATCGTCGCCGACTATATGTATCCGCGAATAACGTCATGTATAGAAGGATTCCATGCGAGGGAAAGATTTATTAAC